GTACCACACAGTTCTGAGCGCTTCGACGTCCGCTTTTAATCCAGAGGCAGAAACCGAAGCAGAGAGGTGAAATAACCTGTCCGAGGTCACACGCCCAGTAAATGGCAGCGCCAGGAGCCCAGTCCAGACAAGCGGCTCCAGGGCCTGTGTGCTTACCCGCTGTGCCCATACCGCCTGGCACGGGGCAGCTCGGCTCTGGGGACCAGCACTGCTCCCTGTGCCTGGACGCGACTTGTGCCTAGTTGCAGAAATATGGGCTCGACTGTAACAGGAGGCAAGGCCTGGGCCATGGCAGCCCTGCACACCACACCCTGTAGAAAATTAGTTTTGGCTGCTTGGGGAATTTTCCAGAAGGCCAGAGAGTCCAGCAGATAAAGTTCAGACCAGAGTCAAGCTCGCCATCAAGGGGCCTTGTGCAGGTGTTGGGAGGGCAGCTTTAAGCACCACTGGATACTTTACAAGGGAAGGACCCAGGGAGGGACATCATTCAATAGCTTTTGCTCAATGGAGTACCTCTGGAGTGGGCACTATGGTTTCCTTTTCCTCTTCATGGGAGCCTAGCAGCCACCAAGAAGCCAGCCCACACCCAGCCCAGCCCACCTGCTCCTCAGGGAGGCCAGCCCTGCTGGCAGGGTCGCCTCACCCGGCTTTGCAGCCCCACTGCAGTTTAGCAAAAACAACTTCAGGCTCGGCCGGGCGCGGTGGCTCACGCCTGTCATCCTAGCACTCTGGGAGGCCGAGGCGGGCGGATTGCTCGAGGTCAGGAGTTCGAAACCAGCCTGAGCAAGAGCAAGACCCTGTCTCTACTAAAAATAGAAAGAAATTAATTAGCCAACTAAAAATATATAGAAAGAATTAGCCGGGCATGGTGGCGCATGCCTGTAGTCCCAGCTACTCGGGAGGCTGAGGCAGGAGGATCGCTTGAGCCCAGTGAGACTCTGTCTCAAAAAAAAAAAAAAAAAAAAGAACTTCAGGCTTTCAGCAGGTGACACCCTCTGAACGACACAAGCCCAAAACCCTCTATCCAGCTGGTCTGGGCCAAGGACGGGATCGCCCTGGCAGCCTCCAGCACAGCCTGTATCTGGAGGGGCCCCGAGTGGCTTGGCGAGCGCTTCCCTCTCCGGTTCAAAAGCTGCAGGGAAGCTGAGAGGAACTCGGGGCTGAGCGTTGGAGGTAGCCAGACAGTGGGAAAAGGAAGAAGCCCAGGACGCATGAAGTGAGGCCACAGGTGGTACTTCCCTGGGATGAGGTCCAGGGAGTGTTTGTTCCCAGCCAGCTGTGGCCCCACCTCCTTGTCACAACACCTCTAAGCTGATGGGAATAGCACCCCACGCCCAACCCATCCTGCCTGACATTCCTTTGGTAACTTTTTTATTTTGCTGTAACTTTGAACTTACAGATAAGTTGCAAGAATAGTACAAAGAACTCCCTTCTCCCCTCCTGCCAGTTCCTGGCATGTTGCCCTACCTGCTTTAGCCTTTGTGAGTCCCCTCTCGCTCTGCATATTTGATTTCCAAGTCCTAAGAAATTAATCTGCAGACATGATGGCCCTTTCCTCCTAAAGGAGGAATGTTTCCTACAAACAAGGACATTCTTTTACATTATCCCAATGAGCAAAACAGCAAGCATGCAAGGTTTTTGTCTAATCCCAAGGCAATATGCAAATTTCACCAATCAACCCAATTTTCAGCTTAATTTTGTATTTTTTTTTTTTTTTTGAGACAGAGTCTCACTCTGTTGCACGGGCTAGGGTGCCCTGGCATCAGCCTAGCTCACAGCAACCTCCAACTCCTGGGCTCAGGCGATCCTCCTGCCTCAGCCTCCCAAGTAACTGGGACAACAGGTATGCACCGCCATGCCCGGCTAATTTTTTCTATATATTTTTAGTTGGCCAATTAATTTCTTTCTAGTTTTAGTAGAGACGGGGTCTCGCTCTCGCTCAGGCTGGTCTCAAACTCCTGACCTCGAGCGATCCTCCTACCTCGGCCTCCCAGAGTACTAGGATTATAGGCATGAGCCACCACGCCAGGTCTGTACTTTTTTTTTTTTTTTGAGACAGTCTGTTGCCCCGGCTAGCGTGTATGTCATCATCCTAGCTCACCGCAGCCTCGAACTCCTGGGCTCAAGTGATCCTCCTGCCTCAGCCTCCCGAGTAGCTGGGACTACAGGTGTAACATGACGCCTGGATAATTTTTTCTATTTTTGGTAGAGATGAGGTCTTGCTCTTGCTCAGGCTGGTCTCAAACTCCTGACCTCAAGGGATCCTCCTGCCTTGGCCTCCCAGAGTGCTAGGATTACAGGTATGACCCACCTAACTGATCTTATTGTCCTTTTTGATGACTATTTGATCACATAGCTAACACATGACTGCAGCCTGTATGTGGAACATTCCAGATAAGGCAAAGTAGGCTCTGAACACCACCAAGAGCCTCTGGCTGGGGCTCCCCAGGGCACTGTGAGGAGCTGGCAGAGGGTGTACACATCAGACTGAGGGGGAGGAGGGGGAAATGGCCCTTTTCCCTGGCTGGCCAGCCAGGCAGACAGCTGTGGGGGCCCTCCTTCCTGTGACCGAGTAGGCAGCAGGCTCAGACCTTTGAGCCTCCCATCTCCCCAAACCACAGCCCAGAGGTGTGAAAGAAAGAAAAAAACAGGGGGAGGGGTGGCAGAGAAGAGCCAGGTGCACATTTCACACCTTGACCACAGGTGGGGCGAGAGCAGCTTCACTCTGACTAACTTCCTCCTCAGGCTTCCCTCACGGCTGCTGTGGAGGGCAGAGGCAGGAGGGCGCATGGGCCAGAACGCAGGCCGCACGCCCTTGGCTAGCTGGCTCTCCCCGGGGCTGGGCCTGGCTCGGACCTTGTCCGGGAGCTGCTGGGGACTGGGAAGAGCCAAATGAGAGAGCTGCACACGGGCGTGGCTCAGCTCCACGACACAGGAGCCGTCCAGTGTACCTTAGCTGCGTGCAACGGCAGAAGCCCACCACAGGCTTGGCCTTCTGAGGCATGAGAGGGATGGCTTTGGAAAGTTCCTAGATGGGGGGGAGGCTGCTGCTCACCGGGCCCCTACCCCGCACCAGACACTTTGTACAAGTTATCATTTGCAGTCCACTGAGCAACCCTATCAGATATGCACTATACTTATACCCATTTTTCAGATGAGGAAACTGAGGCAGAGAGATGAAATGATTTGATGGGATTACACAATCCTCTGAGCAGCCAGAAGATTTGGCTAGGACTGGCAAACCGTCTCCCCCCCACACACACCCACAACCCCCAGCTAACGCAAGGGGTAGCCTTTCTGGAAAACCAGTCCTCAGGCCCACAAGCTCCACCCCGTATCGCTGGCTCCCTGACGTGAAAGGCTCCCAGTGGCTCTAGCTTTTTAGCCAATATCCCTGTCCCTCCACATTGTCAACTGCACTCCTACTAAGCACTGGGCCCTGTGCCAGGAGCTCACAGCCTCGGTTATCTAGTTCATCTCGTAGCAGCCCCGCTGAGGAAACCAGCTCAACACGGTTATGTAATCTGTCCAAGATCACACGGTTCAAAGAGTCGAGTCAGGCTGGAGCCCAGACAGGTTCAGCCTTCTTCCCACTGCGTCCGCTTATCTCGGGGAGCAGTGAGGGCCACCTGTCCCCCAGCCAAGCCCAGCCCCTGGGGATCTGCCCTGATGGCAGTGAGTCAGGGCTGAGAAGGGAAGGCTCTCTGTGCCTTTCCGAAGCCCCCGCCCTGCCCTTCTCCCATTTATCCTTCCCAGCAACCTGGGGAGGTGGGGACCGTCAGCCCTGTGTGACAAATGAGACCGGGGCACCAGGGATTTCCAGACTTTCATCTTTCACGTGGACCAGAGCATTTCAACATCTGTTTGGATGACCCGCACTGGCGTGTCAGCTGCCAACACGAGACATTTCCAAAACTCCCATCTTAGTCCCCATCATTTCATAAAGAAAACGCCCTTTGAAAACCAAAACGGGGATGAATGTGACTGCCAAATACAGGACGTCCTTTCGGTTGAACAAATGTAGCTTTCTGTGCTTGTTTTTCTCATTTGCGGAACTCCAGGGAACTCAAACCTCTGCGCAGACTGGCACTGGGAGACCGTGGTCCCAGCGCCTGTCCCTTTTCCATCCCCACAGGTAGTCACTTGGCAAGTCTACTCAGCCTAACTGGCCTGGCTTCTGGACTCCTCCCGGTCCCCTTCACTTGGCTGCTCCCCACCTCCTCCAGGCCCTCAATTCCCTCCGGCCCGAACCCAGCAGGTGACGAGCTGTTCCCAGCGAGGACAGTCACATCTGCCCACAGAAGGAAGAACCTGAAGCCTTGAGAGCATGTGTCACATCCATAAATCTGAACTGAATTGCAGGCAGGAGCCCGGAGGCTTTAGGGGGACACTCTGGCTGAAACAGGGCCCCCAGGCCATGGGCTAGCACGTGCCTGTCTCTCTCCCTGCTCGCCCACTGCGGGAGAGGCGGGAGGAGGAAACTGCTTGGGAGACGCAACACAGGGGCCACCTTGCCGCTGCAGATGAGAACAGAGTGACAGGGAGAGCTGAGGCACGTGGGGAGAGGGACACTGAGGCTGTCTTACAGCTTTTCCTTAAAATCAGGAGGTGCCTACGGACCCTCCCCGACCCCTCTCCCCCTTCTCGCCCCAGAAGCAACTGCTTTCATGAGTTCATGGTGTCTCCAGCTCCTGTTTTTCTGTTTTGTTTTGTTTTGGTTTTGAGACAAAATGTCACTCCATTGCCCAGGCTGGAGTGCCGTGGCGTCAGCCTAGCTCACAGCAACCTCAAACTCCTGGCCTCAAGCGATCCTCCTGCCTCAGCCTCCCGAGTAGCTGGGACTAGGCATGCGCCACCATGCCCGGCTCATTTTTTCTATATATTTTTAGATGGCCAATTAATTTATTTCTATTTATAGTAGAGACAGGGTCTCGCTCTTGCTCAGGCTGGTTTTGAACTCCTGACCTCGAGCGATCTGCCCGCCTTGGCCTCCCAGAGTGTAGGATTACAGGCGTGAGCCACCGCGCCCAGTCCCAGCTCCTGTTTTAAACTTTGAGAACAGTTGTATCCAAAACAGCATAGTATTGCTTTTTCCAGTGGTTTTTAGAATTTCTGTAAGCAGTGTCAAACTGTACGCAATATTCTGGAACATGCCTCTCCCACCGAGTAGGTGTTGGCTTTTCTAGTTGCATCCATGTTAAAATACATAGCTTCAGTGCATTTGAACTACGTGAATATACCATAGTCTAGCCATTTAAAAGAAACTGAAGGCAGTGTGACGAGTGGGGAAAGGAGAGTGAGACGGCCGTGGGTTCAGTCCTCACGCCCACCCTTGCTGGCTCGCTGCCTGGCAAAGGCCTTTCCGCTTTCTGAATCACTGGGCCGGACAACCCCTGCCTCACAAGGGAGTCATGCGGTTGGAATGAGGCAGTGTTAGAGAAAGCACCTAAAGCAATGTCTAGCACATAGCAAGTTCATTACTAGTAGTTCCCTTTCCTTCCCCCTGCTAATTAGTGGGGAGGGGCCATGGTGAAGAACTAGACTTAGAGTGATGGACTGCTTTTAATATTTGAATTTTTATGACAGTGACTCTCCTTTACAGACTTAACTAACCTTTCACGATCCAGTCTTTACAATCATGCAAAGATCAACTAACTCCAGGCCAGGGCAGTTGGGCACGAGTTCCAATCTACTGAATAGATACCAGGATAGGAGAAGTCCTTCTTCTTCTTTTTCATTTTGGGAGAAATAATTCTTGCCCCTGGCAGCAGGGCTGCCCTTCACTTCCCAGCTGCGTTGTTCCTCCTTCAGACCTCGCCCCTCAAGGGACTTGCCCCCACCCAGCACCCCCCGACCTTCCCTAGGGCCCAGCCTCTCTGGTCCCGAGCGGTGGAGGAGCAGCGTCAGCCAGGCCGGGAATGGCTGGCAGAGAGCTGCGCGGCCGGGGCTCCGGGCACGTCTCGTGCACATCACCCGCTGGAAGAGGCTGCTGCTGAGAACCGCGTGAAACCCTCACTTCCTCTGCGCACGCAGGTTTCCAGCCACAAGCAGCCAAGCAGAGGGGCAGGCAGCACGCGGCCCGGCAGCCTGAGCACCAGCCCAGCCATGGTCCCTGAGGTAAGTGCCGCTGCCCAACCCTGCCGGGCCACAGCCTGGAGTGGAGAACCCAGGACAGTAGGGAAACACCAGGGCTGACCCACAGCCCAGGGCCACCAGGGGGTTGGGTGAGTAGGTGGCAGCTGCAGGGGTCAGGAGGAGCACCAGACAGGGAATTGGGAACCCAGCTTGGCCACTGACCACGGGCGAGTCTCCTCCCCTGTCTGGCTTTAGGGCCTACTTGCAAAAGCCAGGGTGGGGTCTGAGGCTCAAGCTTGCTGACCTCTGAACTTCCCTTCAGCTGACTTGGGGCTTTGACTTTTGTGTGTGGGACTGAATTGGCCGTGGGAAGGCCTGCGGGCCTGGGTGGTCTGGGGTGTGGGCAAGGGGGTAGAGGAGATTCCTGCTAGAGCTCGGTGGGGGATCCCCCAGGGGGTGGGTGGCTGCACAGGTGCACAGGCCTCGGTACAGGGGAGGGGGAGGGGGAGGGGGAAGACAGGCAGAAAGCATGCATTTAGGGGGACTGCATAGGGAGTCCCCATGGGGGTCAGGAAGTTGGGGTCCCCGGACAACAGCTGAAGAGGGGAGAGGAGGGCCAGTGACTGGGAGAGGGGGCGGCGGGGAGGCCCCTGGGGAGGAAGGTGGTTGCACTAGGTGTGGCCGGGGCGCAGGGCAATGGTCACAGGCTCGGCAGCCAGGGAGGGCTCTGAGTGCCAACCTCGGGGAAGCTCTTCCTTCTACCCAGGCTCCCTGGGCCAATGGGAACACCCAGAAGGGTGAGAGAAAAGCAGCTTCTGAGAAGGGAAGTCAGCGTCCCAGAGCCCAGTGTGGATGGAGGGGGTTCAGGTGTGGCCCTGGAAGAAAGGCTGGGGACAGTTACAGGGGCTGGTCAGGACCTGCCTTAGGGAGGAGCTGCTCGGAGGAACGCCCCTCAGACTCAATCTGGAAGGACTGGCTGCCGGGCCCCTTGTCACCTTCTCCTCCCTCTGCAGATGAGTGACCACCAAGTGCTAGATGTGTCTGAGATCGCGTCCTTCCTGGAAAACTTCAGCTCTTCCTATGACTATGGAGAAAACGACAGCGACTCCTGCTGTGCCTCCCCGCCCTGCCCGCAGGACTTCAGCCTGAACTTCGACCGGGCCTTCCTGCCGGCCCTCTACGGCCTCCTCTTTGTCCTGGGGCTGGTGGGCAACGGCGCAGTGGTGGCCGTGCTGCTGAGCCGCCGGGCGGCCCTGAGCAGCACGGACACGTTCCTGCTGCACCTGGCGGCGGCCGACGCGCTGCTGGTGCTGACGCTGCCGCTCTGGGCGGTGGACACGGCCGTGCAGTGGGTGTTCGGCGCCGGCCTCTGCAAGGTGGCCGGCGCCCTCTTCAACATCAACTTCTACGCGGGGGTGCTCCTGCTGGCCTGCATCAGCTTCGACCGCTACCTGAGCATAGTGCACGCCACCCAGCTCTACCGCCGGGGCCCCCGCGCCCGCGTGGCGCTCACCTGCATGGCTGTGTGGGGGCTCTGTCTGCTCTTCGCCCTCCCAGACTTCATCTTCCTGTCGGCCCGCTACGACGAGCGCCTCAACGCCACCCACTGCCAGTACAACTTCCCGCAGGTGGGCCGCACGGCTCTGCGGGTCCTGCAGCTGGTGGCTGGCTTCCTGCTGCCCCTGCTGGTCATGGCCTACTGCTACGCCCGCATCCTGGCCGTGCTGCTGGTGTCCAGGGGCCAGCGGCGCCTGCGCGCCATGCGGCTGGTGGTCGTGGTGGTGGTGGCCTTCGCCCTCTGCTGGACCCCTTACCACCTGGTGGTGCTGGTGGACATCCTCATGGACCTGGGGGCGCTGGCCCGCAACTGTGGCCTGGAGAGCCGTGTGGACGTGGCCAAGTCGGTCACCTCGGGCCTGGGCTACATGCACTGCTGCCTCAACCCGCTGCTCTACGCTTTCGTGGGGGTCAAGTTCCGAGAGCGGATGTGGACCCTGCTCTGGCGCCTGGGCTGCCCCGACCAGAGAGGCGGCCAGCGGCAGCCGGCGTCCTCCCGCCGCGACTCGTCCTGGTCCGAGACCACAGAGGCCTCCTACTCTGGCTTGTGAGGCCGGAGTGCGGGCTCCCGTCTCCCCCGCCGCCCAACTGCCCCCGCGGTCCAGGCTCCTCCCCACTGCCCTTCTCATTTGGAAACCAGAACTTGGCCTTCCCCGTGTGGACAGGAAAGGGGCACAGGGGACATTGGCCCCGTGGGGCTGCGGCCCAGGCCTGCAGCTCAGCAGCAACTGTGGGCCGTGGTCCCCAAGATCTCTGTATTTGCTCATTCCTATTTTTATGTCTACAATCCTGCTTCAAATTTTGTAATAAACAAGATCCTGAGGACCAGGGTGTGTGGGCGCATCATTCCAGCAGCCCTCCCCAGCCTCTGGGTATGCGCTTCCTGCTCCCCCGCCTCCCCCGGCGCCCTGTCCTGCCTCTGCTGATGTCTCTGCAGCCTGTGCTCTGCCCTCCTGGCATTGTCGTTTCATTCCCAGGCAAACACCAGGCACGTGAGCACAGGGCAAGCAGTTAGGCCACTGGCTGGGACAATCGGGGAATGGGGCTGTCACATAAATAAGAGCCAGACTCTGAGCTCCAGCTCCGGACAGCAGGAAAGATGTGCTTAGAAGGAGCGATGCCAGCAGCCTGCGCCATGAGGCAAAGGAGTCGCGCATGGACAACGAAGCTGGGGCGCAGAGCACTGAAGCCGGCACCATGGGGAAGGCTTCCTGAAGACTTAAAGGACAAGGAGTATTCCCAAGGGCGAAGAGAGGTGAAGACAGTATTTCCAGGCAGAAGGGAGGACGGTAGCGGAGGTGGGGAGGCTGGAAACAGCAACGCCTATCAGAGGAATATAAGCGGCCCCAACCGGCTAGTTAAGGGTTCAGGTAGGGAAAGGGTTGAAAACAAGACTGAAAGGTGGATGGTGATCAGGTGATGGTATTAGAGACCAGCCAGAAGGCGGACTTGGTCATTCAGGGGAGGGTGACGCAGGCGACTACTAGGGAGATGGCAGTGGGCTTGCAGAAAAGCAGCAAGGCTGGGCGACTCACCAACGGTCGTGAACACACGGCCACCTGGAGGTGGACTGTGGCGAGCATTTTCCAGGGCGAGGGTTTGTGGCTGAAGTAAGCGGAGGAAACTCAGGCTGCCCGGAAGGGCAGGTGGCAGGGCTACTGGGCCACGGCAGAGGGTGAAGGGCTGAGTGGGTACACTGCACTGTCGGTCCCCCCGCCCCCGCCCCATCCTGCGGTCTCGCAGGCCAGCTGGGCCCTTGAGGAAACTGCAGATACGGCTGGAGGTGGGAATGGGAAGTAGGAATCCCAGGAGTTAGCTGGGGAAGCTCGTCCCACCCCATAAACACACCCAAGCCCACCTGGCTTTGTGGTCTGGAGTTTGTGGCCACTCTAAGTTTCTGCAAAATTAAGGAAGGAAGAAAGGAAAATGACAGAACACATGTAGCCTATAAAAAGCATCAGCGATGCTAGACTGGTGAAGATGCCCGTGGCAGGCTGAAACACAAGCCCCCAAGATGTCCACACTGTCATCCTGAGTCTGTGACTATGTTACCTCAGCTGACTTTAAGAAGAGTCGCCTGGATTAAACAGGTGAGCCCAGTGTAATCACAAGAGTCCTTTAAAAGTGGAAAAGGCAGGCAGAGGAGGAGAGAGTCAGGGAGGGCGATGCTGCTGGCTGTGGAGGCGGAGAGAGGCCACGAACTAAGGGATGTAGGCAGCGTCTACCACAGGCGTCCTCCAACTACGGCCTGCAGGCCACATGCGGGTGTTTTTGCCCATTTGTTTTTTTTACTTCAAAATATAAGATATGTGCAGTGTGCATAGGAATTTGTTCACAGTTTTTTTTAAACTATAGTCCGGCCCTCCAATGGTCTGAGGGACAGTGAACTGGCCCCTGTTTAAAAAGTTTGAGGACCCCTGGTCTAGAAGCTAGAAAAGACAAACGGATTCTCTCCGAGAGCGTCCAGAAAGAAATAGCCCTGTTGACACACCTCGATTTTAGCCCAGTGAGACCCGTGCTGAACTTCTGACTTCCAGAACTGTGAGATAATCCATCTGTGTTGTTTGTGATGACTTGCTGAAGCAGCCCTAGGGAAAGAATACAGTGTGGGTTCCAGTCCACGTGCTGGGTATCTCCCAAAAGGGAAAGTACTCATGGGAAGCCTCAGAAATCAGAAACAGAGTGGAGGTGCTCCTTGAGACACGTCCCCGGGGCTTCAGACGTCCGCATCTTGGGCAAAAGAACTGACGGTTTGTTCTTCTCTAAGCACTAGGAGTCAACGAACAGACTTTGCTAACAAGTGAGATGCAGAAAACACTTTTATTTCATTTTATGAACAACTACATGGCTCAGATGGCTTCATTCAATGTCATTAGCGACTAAATTCATGAAATACACTTGTCTTGTCTGTCTAGGTGGGTGGAGCAGGTTACATCTGACAGTAGCCCTGGTTTGGAAGCACTGCTTTTAAAACTTGTTCTCTTTCCAGCATAATCTTCATTCCTCCAACCTGCCACTCTAACTCATTTTTCTTTTGCATTTTGTTTTACAAAGTCAAACTATGGCGTCAAAATAAAACTCAAGGTAGATCCGAAGGGCTTCAGAGTACTGTCAAGGGCACAAGGTGGTTAGCAATAGAGCCTTTGGCTAAGAATAATCAGCATTAGTGACATGAATCAAAAAATGTACTTACATTCTAATATTGCTAACTTCACAGAAACAGGTTTTTCTAAAACTTCTTATCTAAGCTAAAGGATTCTGCTCATACAAATACATCCTCTGACAGCCTTAAGGAGCTTTGTTTTGTTTCTTGGCAGCAAAATCCTTGCTGAGCTTTCTAATGACATCCCCGTGGGTAATCCCCGCATTGCTATGCAGAACTAATCTATAATTCTGCTGCACATACTTGGCAAATGGGCGCACATGCGGTGTAATGGGGGTCCCATCCTTCCGAGTTAAGGGCAGCATGACCAGAGACCCCTTGCATTCGGCACAGATGGAGCGCTTGGTGTTCAATGATCTGGTGTAGCGGCCGATCCTAGCGAGGAAAGGAATACCACACAACAAAGGAATCAGTCACTGTACCTCGGCATCAGCTCTGAGATGTCGGCCTGGGGCCCAAAGCAAGAATTTTCTCTGGGTTCTCAGAGAATGGGGTACCAAGCAGCAGTAGGGGCCGGGCCAATTCAAATTAGGAAGGAGAATGGAGAAAGAGCACGGAAAGGAGAGTCAGATCGCAATCGGCTTTACTGATTAAAAGTCACTGAAGAGCCACTTGGAGGCCGTAATAAAACATAACTGGGAAAAGTCTGGGAAGAAAGGTCTTTCTTACCTGGATTTGCACCGAGTACATTCATACTGAATCTTGTAGTTAATGGTGTAGTTATGGCAACGGGTGACCAAGGGCAGCTCCGGGTGCACCAAGTTGGATTTCTTGGCATAATACTTCCATGTGTCACCATGAGAATCACGGACGCCATCGAGCAGCCAGGAGGCAGCATGGCATAGCTCATGGATCAAAGTATCGCGGAGTCGGTCTTGAAAGAGGAATGAAAAGAAAGCGAGCACTAAAGCCGAGCCTTTTCTGGCCTGCCACCCAGCTACCCTAGACTCTCAGCACACCGCACAGCCATCGTCAGAAGCACACGCAGGCGGCCAGGAGTGTTGCCTTCCCAGAATTCTGAAAGTGAAATTTCCACCCACTTCAGCCCAAGTTTGTTCATGGCACGGAGCCTTTGGTGAACGGGTCTTTTTGGAGCAGCTCCAATGTGTTCATCTTTTAGTGGGGCGCTGCTAGAAAAACATGTAGACAAGACCTGGTTTCTGCCTTTCAGGAATGGAGGTGGGCAGGGCAGGGCGGGGAGCGGTCACTGTGGCTGTGGGATTTGGTCAGAAGCTCCACGGAGGAACTGCGATCGGAGCTGAGCCCTTACCAATTGACTGGATCTACAAGGTTACAAAGGCCATTCTGGGTGTGGGGAAACACGTGAGCACGTAGTACTTTTTTTTTTTAGAGACTAGGTCTCACTATGTTCCCCAGGCTAGCGTGCACTGGCTATTCACAGGTGTGATCATAGTGCACTGCAGCCTTAAACCCCCGGGGCTCAAGCAGTCCTCCCGCCTCAACCACCCAAGTAGCTGGGAGTCAGGCACATGCCACTGTACCCAGCCTGTGGACAACTGGTGAAGTAGTGAGACTGGCCACGTGGAGTGGGGGCCTCAAAAGCCAGGCTCTAGGCCTTGAAAAGCCCTAGGTTTCTGAATATAATAGAAGTTGGAAGAGGCTGGGGTGTGGCTCACACCTGCAATCCTAGCACTTTAGGAGGCTGAGAAGGGAGGATTGCTTGAGATCAGGACTTTGAGACCAGCCTCTACTAAAAATAGAAATTATTTAGCCAGATGTGGTTGGCGCACGCCTGTAGTCCCAGCTACTAGGGAGGCTGAGGCAGGAGGATCGCCTGAGCCCAGGAGTTGGAGGTTGCTGTGAGCTATGATCGTGCCACTGCACTCTAGCCTGGGTGACAGAGTGAGACCCTGTCTGAAACAAACAAAAAAAATGTTGGGAAGAAAAATGCCCTAGATTTCTCAGCAGTAAAGCAATGCAGTGTGTACAGGAGACTAACTGAGCGGGGATGACAGCCCATTCCTGGGCAGACTCACGGATGGAGAAGGAAGATTTGGTGACTGGCAGATATATGGGACCTTGAACTTCAGCTGGTGAGAGAGTGGAGATGCTGCTGGCATGGGGACATGCAGAGAGAAAGGTGGGCCTAGCAGAAAGACTGAGTTGGATTTACAGGAATGGTGAAACATCCAATAATGTCCTCTAAGCCAGGGGTCACCAACCGTTTTGGCACTAGGGACTGGTTTCATGGAAGACACTTTTTCCACGTTGAGGGGAGGGTCATGGGAAGGAGACAGAGCTCAGGCGGTGATACGTGGCCCATTTCCTAACAGGCCACAGACCGGTACCGGGCCGCAGCCCAGGGGGCGGGGACATAGCTCTAAGCAACGCACAGTAGGCCTGTCCACCAAGGAATGACAGTTCAAGTTGTGATACTGGCCGCCGGCTAGGAGTAATTTAACAGGCAGAGCGTGACGAGAAAGCCGCCACGCCCGTGCGATCACCTGCAGAGTCGCAGACTTTCAGAGCAATCTGGATCTTGGCGAAGCGCTCCCTCTTCGGGTGCTGTTTCTCGCCGGTGGTGCATAAGCCAGCAGTTCTCAGCATCTTTTTATTCCAGGCAATGTCTATCTTCTCCGGCAGCTGAGAATGGAAAGCAAACGGAAAAGAGTCGGAAAGAAGTTCTAGCAGATCAGAAAACATTCACTCCAGAGTTTTCCTTCCTCTGATAAAAAGGAAAAGGAATTTTCTCCCCCAATTTTCTCTCTCCCTCTCTCTCTCTCAAAATTGGCTCAGAGCAAGTTTGAGAAGAAATCTGTCCAAAGGGCACACAAATCTAAACATTCTGGGGAGAAGAAAAGCCAAGTTGAAGTCCAGGTAAAGACAACTAACAGGCAATCGAGATACAAGGAGGGCCGGGTGCAGTGGCTCAAACCTGTCATCCTAGCACTCTGGGAGGCCGAGGCGGGAGGATCACTCAAAGTCAGGAGTTCAAAACCAGCCTGAGCAAGAGCGAGACCTTGTCTCTACTAAAAATAGAAAAAATTAGCCGGGCATGGTGGTGCATGCCTGTAGTCCCAGCTACTCGGGAGGCTGAGGCAGGAGGATCGCTTGAGCCCAGGAGTTTGAGGTTGCTGTGAGCTAGGCTGACGCCACGGCACTCTAGCCCGGGCAACAGAGTGAGACTGTCTCAAAAAAAAAAAAAAAACAGACACAAGGGAGACTGTTCAGACCACGTGAAGGCAGGATTTGGACTCCCCTGCATGAGACAATAGTCTGGGACACCCAAGGACAGAAACACAAGCTTGCTGAGGTGGGCAAGATGGCAGCCTGTGCATGGGAGTGGCGAGGCTGAATTGAAAATATGACTCAGGTCACTTCAGATTCTGACATGACACCACTGTCATCAGGAAGGGCACCAAAGCCTGGGAAACCTTTAGGAAGATACGAGAACTTCCCTCCAGAAAGTCTTGTCACCAGGGACAATAATCTAAAAATCCCAGTGGCCGACAGGTCTTCCCACCTCCAGATTCCATCTCAAACTCCTGGCCTCCCAAAGCTCTAGGATGACAGGCGTGAGCCAGCCACCATACCTACCCATCCAGTCCATATCCACAGGCCACTGTCAGATTAATTTCCTTCAGCAGCCACTTCATGTCATGCCCCTCCTGGTGCAGAGGCGCCTACTCGTGTAAATCTAATCTCCTCCGACCTGATTCCCAAGGCCCTCCGTTACCTGGTCCTATGCTATCAAAATATAATAAGCTTACTATGTCCTAGGCCCTGTTCTAGGCACTTTATGCATATTAACTTACGTAGACTTAATGATAATTCTATCAGGTAGTAAGGACTGTTACTGCCCCCATTTTACAGATGAGGAAACTGAGGCAAACTGAGGTTAAGTAACTTGCCCAAGGTAACACAGCTCTTTCCCATTATCCTTCCACATAAATCTTCTCTTCCTGATAGGCCCCAACACACACCTTCTCCCTCAACACGGTTTTCACCCCTTACCATCCTTCAAAGAACCAGAGAGTCTCACTTCCTCCAGGTGATCTGATTTCCTGACTGTTCGGGCTCTCAGCCATTTCTCCCTCTGCTGATCTCCTGTGGTAACAACCATCTGTCCCATACATTAGAACCTGTACACATTCTTCCATGTATACACGTCTCACCTCCCCACCTAAACCGCCTCTCGGCAAAGGCAGGGAGTATACACAGTTAGCACTTGTCACGGCACCCAGGATTGATGGCGCATAGGTGCTCCTCAATGCTTATTTAGTGATCCTACCTTTTGATCAAAGACGGAGCTATTAAACAGGCTGTAGATCTTCTGAACCAGTTCATCCTTATTTTGCTTGAATTTCCTTCCGGAATATTGCTTTAAGTATTCAAGGCCAAGCAAGAAACATCCAGGTATGTTGCACGTAGGGTGCCTGCAAAGGTAAAGTCAACTGAGTTTTGTATGGCTTAAGAAATAGGAGAAATCTGCATCTACTTAGAAAGGAAGGAAAAAAAATAAAAAAATTAGGCCGGGCATGGTGGCTCACGCCTGTAATCGTAGCATTCTGGGAGGCCAAGACAGGAGGATTACTCAAGGTCAGTAGTTAAAAACCAGCCTAAGCAAGAGCGAGATCCTGTCTCTACTATAAATAGAAAGAAATTAATTGGCCAACTAATATATATAGAAAAAATTAGCCGGGCATGGTGGCGCATGCCTGTAGTCCCAGCTACTCGGGAGGCTGAGGCAGAAGGATCGCTTAAGCCCAGGAGTTTGAGGTTGCTGTGAGCCAGGCTGACACCACAGCACTCACTCTAGCCTGGGCAACAAAGCGAGACTCTGTCTTAAAAAAAAAAAAAAAAAAAAGGAAAATCAAAAAATTAAAAATTAAAGAAAAAAAGAAATAGGAGAAATAAATGTATAAAAGGTCATGTCAAGGGAGTTTCAGAACTTGCTGCTCCCCCTTCCACCCACCTTAGATATGGGGGCATTTCTGAAGCCTCCGTTTGTAGCCCCTTCTCTTTGCACATTCTGCAAGGCATGAAGTGCCTGGTTTCAACCTCCACACGACTGATCCCCACACCTGGATCCGAATTTACCTGATGCAAACTTCCGCTGTACCTCCAGCGGAACACGTTCAATTAGCAAACTTGTTATAACTGGCTGAAAACCTTGGAGGCATTTTTAAATTCCTGTTCTCCCTTACCCCATGTTCGAAGGGCACAGAGACTGCTACCTCCTGCATGGGATCCTGCCCAGCCAGCTGCTCCTGGCCAGCCCCGCAGTCCCCACTCCAGTTCAAATCCCTGTCCTCCGCTTCATGCCTCTACATGACACCATTCCTCTGGGTCCTTTTCCTCCAGGACCTTTCTCTTTCATTCCAACCACACACACACCCCCCCCTCCAGATTCATTTTCCTAATCGATGGCCCCCTCTGGCTTTGTATTGACTGCTTGGGCTGGCACTCAGGGACCCGGTCAATTTGGTCTCAATCTCTATTTCCAGCCACCAGTTCTACTCTGGCTGAAGCAGGCAACTCACATGTTCCCTGGACACAGAGAATAACCACTTGTGTCGCACTTCATCATCTGCAAAGAACGAGCTCTTGTATTGTCATATTTAATCCTCACAATAACCCTTCAAAGAAGCTATTACTATTTTTACAATCTCCACTTTGCTCAGAGGATAAGTGACCTGTCACAGAGACACAGAGACAATGAATCTTCTGACCCGAATCTCGTGGTCTTTCTATTAAACCACAATTGCTGCCCCCATTGTTCAAGGCTTAATTCAAACAGCACAAAGAATAGCGCTGAGCACGCAAAGGACTCGGACTGTAATTTAAGTATTATTTAAAAGTGAAGCATTTCTATCTTAGCTGGGACAACCCACAAGTACAGAGAGAAGAGCCCACAAGCTAGAAAGATAAAACAGGAGCAAATACACCAAGTTTCTGACTTAACAGAACTCCAGAGACTGAGATTTTGCCAGAACATTCATTAACCCTTAAGGCACAAAACACACCCTCTGTGAGGAGGTTGGGGTGGCGAGAGGGGAAAGTACCAGACAGGACAAAGGCAGCCTACACAAGGGTCTTCATCCCAAAGCCTGAAGCCACAACTCAAACATTACTGCCTCCAATGACTTTGGTTTGAAAGCAGATTTGCATGAGGAAAGAGGGCAGGTGCAAACCGGAACCATCTGCAGGCTTCAGCAGGGCCCGGGACCCCTGCGTGTTTGTGCACGAAGGAAGCTGGCCTTGTGGCTTAGCGCACCTTCACCTGGAGGCCTGCCCCTTTCCTGCAGGCTGAGCACTTCCACATCAGAGGAACCAACGAGACCCCAAACTGGGGACATCTGACACCATGGCCAGCAAGCGGCCTACACAGGAACAATGCTGAGCACAACAGGAAGCCTCCAGACTGACACAGGAAGTGTCAAGGCGACAGCTACAAGTCCAAATAGGCTAGTCTCCTTTGGATGATGCAGACTGACAAGGACACCAAGGGGCAGCTTCTCCTATCTTTTGTCACATTCTCTAGCAAAGCAACCCGGGAGCTACCCAAGACACATGTCCCTATAGGCAAAGCAGCTTCAATATGTATCTAGGAATCCAGAGAAGAAACCTCCCTGAAAGGGGACTCCATCTAAGAGGACATGGTGAGCTCCTGGCAGCGGCGAAACACGTGGAAACAGACTTTCTGCTCAGGTTCAAGTCGCTCTGTTGCCCCAGTGCCTGACACATCATTCTTGTTCCTCTTCCTTAAGATGCCTTTATTGTTTCAAAATCCAGGTTAAAAAACAACATACAGTCCTTCAAGTGCATCCCTTCTCTTGTTAAAACAATTCTGATGTGAGTATATATTATTCCCGACTGCAAGTGAAAACAAAGAAAATAATGCTTGTTGTATCATATTTTTAAAGGAAAAAGTGAGAAGTTCCTGGAACCTAAATGAGAAAATGTGTTCATTTTTTCCTTTAAGTATAAACATGTATTTGGCCTAAATGATCAGTTGTTTTGAGCATCAACTATATATAGCTTAAGAAAAATAAAGGAACAAGCAGTGCATTTCATTCTAACATTTAAGCTTTAAAAATTCACATACTATACGTGGTAAGACTCACTAGGTTCACCCAGAGCACTAGAAAAGCCTAGAAGACAACCTCGATCCCCCTCCCTCCATTTCTGACGATCAGAGCAACTTGTTGCTTCTGCCTTTTCACCATTTCCACTGCCTTTGCCTCAGTTTAGTGAACACTAGTGGCCATGAGGCTGTGTCCAGCCTGGAAAAAAGTGTCTTGTTTGGCTATACATTCTTTGATCTGAGTTTAAGGACAAAGGCACAGGCCAGGCACGGTGGCTCACGCCTGTAATCCTAGCACTCTGGGAGGCCGAGGCGGGTGGATCCCTCAAGGTCAGGAGTTCGAAACCAGCCTGAGCAAGAGCGAGACTCCATCTCTAAAAAAATAGAAAGAAAATTAATTAGCCAACTAAAATATATAGAAAAAAGTAGCCGGGCATGGTGGCGCATGCCTGTAGTCCCAGCTACTCAGGAGGCTGAGGCAGGAAGATCGCTTGAGCCCAGGAGTCTGAGGTTGCTGTGAGCTAGGCTGACGCCACAGCACTCCAGCCCGGGCAACAGAGTGAGACTCTGTCTCCAAAAAAAAAAAAAAAAAAAAAAAAAAGGCAACCTCAGAGAACAGACATGCTGGGGGGGCAGAAAGCGTTCCCTACCCCCCAAAACCAGCCAGACTCCTTCATCCCCTTGCATTCTCCCCAGCACATGCCCAAGGGACTGCTCCACATGTGACAATTGTGCAATCAACTACGGTTCCACTGAATATGAGCGGTACATACCCATCCTCCAGTTTTTCAACTTTTGCTGCGCTGGGTTTCTTCTTGGAAGGCCCACTTTTTTGTCCTTTAACAGCTGAAAGGATAATAGTTCATTTATACCCTGAAGGTTGGTTCCATCAAGCGAGTGACAGAAAGGCAATCCCAGGAGCATCCCCCACCGCCAAGCCCAGAGCAACATGTCTAAACGAGTGACTGAAGCCCGCACACGGCTGTGTGTCACGCCGAACCGTCTCCACTGGGGATCACAGAGCTGCCAGCAGCGTGAGCCACGCAGGATTCTGTCACAGCCGCCAAGGACTACGGAGGTACAGGAGTGTGCCATTAGAGGCCAGGCAGTACGAGCAGAGGAAGCACATGCAGCCGAAGCACGGCACAGCTCACACGCTCGCTCCGAGGACTACCTCACAGCCGGAGCAGCACCTTCTCCCTGGGTGCACGCCAAATCCTACCTTCCTCTAGGACCCATCCTGCAAGGTGCAATAGCCAGAGACTTATGTATCACTAGTGCCATTCATTTATTTCAAAAAGTTATTAAATCTCTATTACATGCCAAGCACCAGGCTAGACCCTGAGGGAGATTAAAAGATGAGGAAGGCCGGGCTTGGTGGCTCACACCTGTGATCCTAGCACTCTGGAAGGCCGAGGCAGGAGGATCACTCAAGGTCAGGAGTTTGAAAGCAGCCTGAGCAAGAGCGAGACCCCGTCTCTACTAAAAATAGAAAGAAATTAATTGGCCAAGTAATATATAGAGAAAAAATGAGCTGGGCATGGTGGCGCATGCCTGTAGTCCCAGCTACTCGGGAGACTGAGGCAGGAGGACTGCTTGAGCCCAGGAGTTTGAGGTTGCTGTGAGTTAGGCTGATGCCACGGCACTCACTCTAGCCTGGGCAACAAAGCAAGACTCTGTCTCAAAAAAAAAAGAAAAAGTTAGGCAGGCATGGTGGCACATACCTGTCGTCCCAGTTACTCGGGAGGCTGAGGCAGGAGGATCGCCTGAGCCCAGGAGTTTGAGGTTGCTATGAGCTAGGCTCCACGGCACTCTCGTCTGGGCAACAGAGTGAGACTCTGTCTCAAAAAAAAAAAGGGGGGAATATATTATAACTGTGATTAGTGCTTTAGTAGAGACAGGCTCTACAACTTAGGGAACCCAGAGAAGGAGGAGCCACTCTGACTTATGGCTTCATAAGGAAGTGACAATTGGACTGGGTCCTAAGAAAAATGGGATATCCTCAGGACAAAGGGGACACAGGCAGGAAACACTCCAGGCCTGTGGAACAGAGAACACTAAGATACAGGAGCATGAGAAACACATGGGCATTCCTCCCCCATTCCCAGAACAATCCTTTCGCTTGGATGGCTGCCTCCAGTGGCCACTAGGAAATTGCTGAAACAGCACAGGGTTGGCAGCTGGGACAGGCAGACCCAACGAGACAAACTTGGCATGACTGGCTTACCGGCTGGCACACAAATATTTTTGGTTTTTTGCTTCTTTTTCCTTGGTTGTTCCACCACGGATTCAGGCTCTTCATCAGTTGGCATCTTTCCATCTGAAATCTCTAGGTTAGCCCCAGGATCACTTGGTGGCTGGCCGAGACTTCCACCAAGATCCTGCTCAGCAACATCATCAGAGGCATTGTGCTGGGAGACAGCAGACTCGTCCAGCTCTTCCTCATCGCAGGCAGTTTGGCCCTGATCACAGGAATCCCCTTCTTTTAGCACAGGATCCTTCAAATCATTGCTTTCATCATCTTCTTCAAGTACTAGAGGCTCCATGATGATCGGCTCATCATCAATATCAAATAACTCCTCCAGAATCTCTTCTGAAATGCCAGACACACAGTCATATATATACACTCCCTCCACCCCCACCTTATAATACACTGCATTTCAGCAGATTATTGGCCTCAAATCAAATGAGCTGGGAACTATAACATTTTGTACCACACTTAAGAATTAGTTATTGTGGATTGTTTTCCCTCTATTTCTGTTTTATTTTACTGACAGCAGTGACAGATAAAATAGCAATCAAAGTCCAGGGGCAATTTCCACATAACTCTCTAAGTAGCACGATGTAGTTGCACAGGGGTTCCCAAATACAGGTCTGCAGACTTGTAGATTTTCACTAGTCCACAGCAAAATAAGAGACATAAAAATAATAAAGTGGTGTTTTGGGCCTCATCAAGTTAAATTCCTGTAATTTAAAGAACTGTCCGGGCCGGGCGCGGTGGCTCACACCTGTAACCCTAGTACTTTGGGAGGCCGAGACGGGCGGATCACTCAAGGTCAGGAGTCTGAGACCAGCCTAAGAGCGAGACCTTGTCGCTACTAAAAATAGAAAGAAATTAATTGGCCAACTAAAAATATATAGAAAAAATTAGCCGGGCATGGTGGCACATGCCTATAGTCCCAGCTACTTGGGAGGCTGAGGCAGGAGGATCGCTTGAGCCCAAGAGTTTGAGTTGCTGTGAGCTAGGATGACGCCACGGCACTCTAGCTCGGACAACAGAGTGAGACTGTCTCAAAACAAAACAAAACAAAAAAACTCATCAGTTCTTTCATTCCATAGAATTTCCTAAATTCATTACAATAATGGGGCCAGGTGTGGTGGCTCACACCTGTAATCCTAGCTCTCTGGGAGGCCGAGGCAGGCGGCGGATCATTTGAGCTCAGGAGTTTGAGACCGGCCTGAGCAAGAGCGAGACCCCATCTCTACTATAAATAGAAAGAAATTAATTGGCCAACTAATATATATAGAAAAAATTAGCCGAGTATGGTGGCGCGTGCCTGTAGTCCCAGCTACTCGGGAGGCTGAGGCAGGAGGATCGCTTGAGCCCAGGAGTTGGAGGTTGCTGTGAGCTAGGCTGACAGCATGGCACTCACTCTAGCCTGGGCAACAGAGTGAGACTCTGTCTCAAAAATAAATAAATAAATAAAAATCATTACAATAATAAAAGAAATGCCACGTGAAAAACAGCAAAGAAACATACAGAACGAGCCCTGGGAGAGCACCGTACACTGCTGGGACAGCCACCCACAGGTGGAGCCCACAGACCAGCAAGGTAAAAGCAGCCTTAGCTAAAAGTTCACCCTCAAAAGAACACGGCTCTTCTGATTCAAGGTGTCAGAACCTGGCGGCCTCTGGTGGTGAACCAGTTTCTGTTCCTGTCACTCCTGCCCTGCCCTCAAGCTGCCTCCTTGGGGTTCCCTTCAGTATTGGAGCAGCTTATCACGTCAGAGCCCGTTCAGCACCCGGACCTCTGACCTCTGTCCCGCTTAGGCACAGGGACCCAGAGCTAGACAGAGGGAGGGGGAAGGAAAATTGAGGGGACAGGTGGTGAAACAACAGGAGACTAGGGCTCCAAGCCACCTTTCCTTTCCCTGCTGATATCCCAGGTTAGCAGGGAACTGTGGCCCACGACATCTCTTGGGTAGTCATCTAAGAAGTAGCCAGAGAAAGTATATTGTCATTTTTTTTTTTTTTGAGACAGTGTCTCGCTTTGTGCCTGCGCCATGGCGTACGACGTGAATTACCATCGGCCTCAGCCTAGCTCCACAGCAACCTCACAACTCCTGGCTCAAGCGATCGTCCTGCTCAGCCTCTGAATAGCTGGATACAGGCATAGGCCAACCCGATAGCCCGGCTCACTTTTTCTATATATTACGGCTAGTTGGCCAATTAATTTCTTTCTTCTTCAGTAGACGGGTCTCGCCCTTGCTAGGCTGGTTTGACTCTGACCTGAGCATCCGACACCTCGGCGCGCCAGAGTGCTAGGATTACAGGCGTGAGCACCGTCCGGCCTTATCGTCATTTTTTTATAGTAGTACTGTGTGCGTTCTACTTTTAAAAATCGCTGGTGCATGGGCTCACGCCTATCGATACCCTAGCACTTTGGGAGGCCAAGGTGGGAGGATTCTGCTCAAGGTTAGGCAGTTCGAACTAGCTGAGCCAGGCGAGGGCCCCCGTCCTCTACTAGAAACTACGAAGAAGAATTAGCCAATCAACTAAAATTAACGGCAGACGTGGTGGCGCATTCTGTATCCCAGCTATCGGGCGGTCTGAGGCAGAAGATCACTTGAGCCCAGGATTTTGAGTTGCTGTGAGCTACGTTGACTGCCACAGATCTAGCCCGGCAACAGAGTGAGACTGCTGCTTCAAAAAAAAAAGAATAAAATCAGAAAGAAATTAGCTGACAATAAATTATATATACGAAACAAAACATTAACCAGGCATGTGGCGCATGCCTGTAGTCCAGGCTACTCGGGAGACCTGAGCGGGAAGGATGCTTGAGCCACAGGAGTTGTGGTGCTGTGGAGCTAGGCTGACTGCCACGGCCACTGTATTGCCGGGCAATGGTGAAACCGTCTAAAAAAAAAAAATTAAATTTAAGAGCCTCCCATTTTCAGTTGAGTTCAGCTTAGCAAACATTAATTAGGTACCCAAGTATCATGCCCTACACCTGGTACTGACTAAACAAAGATCAATGAAATACCATCCCGTTAACGTGCTTAAGAACTCTACTCAGATTTTGGGGAGGGGGGGGAATGGGCTTTATTCGAATAGGTGTAATCTGTACCACCGAGTATATAGTGCCGAAATACAAAAAGAAGCTTCTAGTGGTCCTGTGTCTCGTGCCCACTGAGCAGGTAGGTTTTGAACTGCAAGTAAACCTCTGAGCCTCACAAAAAAGCCTCTTTGAATGCAAAGAGGCAAGGATCTGCTGTGGAAAACAGGCTCTAAGAAACACGGGACTCTCTAGAAAATATAAAGGAAGTGGCAAACAGCAGATGTCAACAGCTTGATGGAGAAAGCAAGCATCTCCCCTGACATGTCACTGCCAGCTGGCCCACAGCCATCACCCACCCAAGTGTCCATCAAGTTGGAAGGATGAGTCCATGCCTCCTACTCCTTTCCTCCTCCTTGTCATCCCCACACAGAGAGAAGGAGGGGAAGAGAGGGAGGAGGAGGAGCAGAGCAGCCTCCATACTTCTCAGCCTCAGTTCTCCACTGTGTCCCCTGGTATAGTTCTAGGTGCGCAAGAACTCTACTGAGGAGGCCACCCGAGGTCTAAGGCAGAAAGAACAGTGGCTTCTGTGTTAGGAAACTGACCAAGAGGCACAGGGAACCCGGCCATATCCACAACCAGGACATAGGAGGAAAGAAATGGTGGCATTTGCTACTACCGTGTTTCTCCGAAATTAAGACCTCCCCATAAAATCAGCCCTAGCAGGATTTCTAAGCATTTGCGCAATAGAAGCCCTACCCCGAAAATAAGCCCTAGTGGTGGGCGTGGCTACGCAGCGCATCTGCACGACCCATGCATGTCATCGCGGAGCAGGAAAGAAGACGAGCAGCTCCTCTCATCTGCCCCATCGTGACAGCTACTGTCCCAGAGGTGACCGGAAAGGTGTGGGCAGCCCCACCAACAAGGCCGGCTCCCCCTGTCGGGTCCCGGCCACCCTGTGCATGCTGCAAGCTGAGGCTTTGAGGGGAAAATCACACATCCCCTGCAAATAAGCCCTAGGGGGTCTTCTTGAGGAAAAAGAAATATAAGACCCTGTCTTATTTTCGGGGAAATACGGTAAGTGATTCCAAACAGAAAGTTTGCTGACTCTGATCCCCAAACTGCTGTGTGTGATGAGGTTTCAGAGCTCAGCTGCTTCCCCTAAGGGAGTGGTATACTTGCCATCACTACCTGTTTCCAATAGCCTGGCTTTCTTTTCCTTAGAGAAGTATTCATCATCAAATTCCCAGTCAATCATCTCGAAGCTGAGTGATGAGGGGGGGGAAGAACAAAAGAGAAATAGGAATGCGACAGTCTCCCTGTCATCGCATTTTCAATGAACATGATCACTTGTCAATTTTTTTTTCCCCACAGTAATTCTGTTCCCCTTCTTTGGAGCTACTCAATCTTGCCATTATTCCTAATTTTCCATCTTTTCCATCTTTCTACTGCATCTTTCCCTCCATCTCACAAACTTCTTAAAAGAAGGCGTCTGTCACATGTTGAGATTGAAATGGGCTATCAGAGTGTTCACATTCAAATATTTTTGGTGCGGGGTGGGGCAGGCGGGAACTGATCAGGGAAATGTCTAGCTAGAAAATGTCATCACTCTAAAAAAATTTTTTTAAAAAAAGAATCAACCCTCCACTGCTAAATTTGACTGACATACTGGGCTAAACAGCTTGATTTTTATATGACAAGCTATTTGAATTGGGGATCAATATGATCAAAGCAGGGCCTCAGGAATTCATGTGGAACGGGCATACAACAGACTGGATCAGAGGAGGACTAGATCAGCGTCAGGAGCCCACTTAAAGAGGAGGAAAATGGCCGGGCGCGGTGGCTCACGCCTGTAATCCTAGCTCTCTGGGAGGCCGAGGCGGCGCCGGATATTGCTAAAGTACAGGAAGTAGCACGAAACCAGCCCCTGAGCAAGAGCAAGACCGCCGTCTCTACGTATAAAGTACCGAAAGAAATTATTGGCCAACTGCATATATATAGGCGCACTTGTAGCAAAAATTGGGGCCGGGAGCATTGGCGCTCATGGGGGCGCAGTGGCAAAAGGCCTGTAGTGGCGCGAGAGCGAGCTGGGAGCGCTGAGGCAGGGGAGGGATCTGCTTGAGCCCAGGAATTATGAGGTTCGACAGCTAGCTGATGCCAAGCGGCACTCACTCTAGCCTCGGACAACCAAGTGAGGACTCTGTCTCAAAAAAAAAAAAAAAAAAAAACGCCAGGGAGGCAGGACAAAACTGGTAAGAGCTTAGATTTGTGGAGACTGGCAGTAAGGCATGGTTTACATTTTGAAGAAGAAACTGACCAATCAGATAATGGGCCAGGGATAAGGAATCTAATATTTTGAACCTGGTTGGAAGGTCAAACACCCATTATGATCTTGCTGAGAACCAGTGTTCACAGAGGAAATGTGATGTTTACTCTTAAATCTTCTTAATCAGAGCATCAGGCTATTTCCCTTTAAAGAAAGTCAAGTTTCGATAATTCTCCTACTCACCTGCTGCTCCATCTCTTCGGGGCTTCTGTTGTGGTCACAACTAAACACAGAGACAGAAAGAGGGCCTTAGGAAGCATCTGAAGCATGATAACATTTGGTTAGCCATGTCTGTCACTCCCTAAAACCATAGTTCAAAGATTAGAGCTGGTTAAAATTTACATAACCCATGAAAGATAAAGAGGAGATCAAAGTAAGGAGACCCAGAGCCAAAAAAAGGTACATGAAGTAAGTTGGAAAAGAAGCCCAGAGAAACTCCTCTGCTCCTAACAGCAGTAAAATAAATTTCCTTTCCCCAACCTAGAGAGAGTCCTAGATGAGATGAGCCTAGGACCAGCTTATGCTAAACGTCCCAAATCACATTTCAGCCATCTCTACAAAGACACTTCAAAATGTAAATTACTGCTGCGTGGACTCTACTTACCAGACTCACTGTCTTCATGGGACTCATTGTCTTCATCGCTGGAATCAAGAGTGAGAATGAAACTGCAAAAATAAAAGATACTTTTTAAAAAAAATTCTTATCGGTCCTGGCCTATAAAAGATACTTTTTAAAAGGAAGGCTACCAGTATCATAAGCAACCAAACATCACAAATCTCAAGTAAGTGAAGAGAACAACCAATCAGAGTTTCTGAAATACAAAAAGGTTTGCAGGGCTTTAAGCCTTTATGAAGTTAGGATCACAATAGTGGGGGTAAAAAAAAAAAAAATAGAAGCAACAAGCTGCTAAGTAGTCTTTACTGCTGAATCAAAGATAGGGGGAGAATGATAGCCGAGTAACATTAGCTGTCAGTAAGAAGCCTGTTTTCTGCCAAGTGATTTATTTAAGATATGAAAGTGAGTGAGTCCAGAGAAAGGGGCCATGGGAAAAAGGGCTTGAGGATGAAGAGATCGCATTTAAAAATCAAAAGGTTTAAAATAAAATTTTGCTGTAAGTTTGACCAGATTAAAAAAAAAAGGGTAAAGGAGCAAGGAGGTCCCCTTTTAGGGCGTTACCGCTCGGACAGCACCTACTGCTGAGCTTCCTATCTAGGTAAATGGCCAAGGACTCAAGTCCACTTGGGGAGCCAACAAAGGATGTTTTCAAAGCTGCAACTGCCCCGTGCAGTGAGCCATGATGTTGGGGCCTCTTCCTTCTCTGCCTCATGACATGCCACTGGGCCCGGCATGTGCTCTCCACTGCTCGTGCAAGGCCACTTTGCCTGTGGCTGTCGCTTACCAGACGGCTGTGCATACTACCCGAGGTGAAGCCAAGCGCATTCCTGTTCAGGACCCTTCAGCTCCCTGGACAGCCAGCCCACTGGATATCTCACTGACAGCCACTCATTACACCGGGCCAAACTCCAGCCCAGAGGAGCCACGGAGCCACGCTGCAGTAAGTGTCGCTTCACTGTTGGAGCCTGGCTACATCGAGGTAATCTTGTCATTAGTTATTGTGACACGTAGCCACAGAGGATATCAAAATGCTAGAGGAGATAGACATAATAGCTCTAAGGAAGTCCAGGTTTCACATATCAAAAGTTAGACTTAGGCCAGGCGCGGTGGCTCACGCCTGTAATCCTAGCACTCTGGGAGGCCGAGGCGGGAGGATTGCTCCAGGTCAGGAGTTTGAAACCAGCCTGAGCAAGAGCAAGACCCCCGTCTCTACTAAAAATAGAAAAATTAGCCCGGCATGGTGGGACTGCACATGCCTGCAGTCCCAGCTACTTGGGAGGCTGAGGCAAGAGGACTGCTTGAGCCCAGGAGTTTAAGATCGCAGTGAGCAGGCCAGGCGCAATGGCTCACACCTGTAATCCTAGCACTTTGGGAGCCTAAGGCGGGTGGATTGCTCAAGGTCAGGAGTTCGAAACCAGCCTGAGCAAGAGTGAGACCCCGTCTCTACCCAAAATAGAAAAAATTAACCGGGCATGGTAGTACATGCCTGTAGTCCCAGCTACTCAGGAGGCTGAGGCAGAAAGAGCACTTGAGCCCAGGAGTCTGAGGTTCCTATGAGCGAGGCTGACGCCACAGCACTTTAGCACAGGCAACAGAGTGAGACTTTGTCTCAAAAAAAAAAAAAAAAAAAATCACAGTGAGCTAGGCTGACGCCATTGCACTCTAGCCCAGAAGACAGAGCAAGACTCTGTCTCAGATTTAAAAAAAAAAAAAAAAGTTATTGCCTTGGGAGGCAAAGAAAGAAGGGGAAAAAAGAAAGTTAGACTTCACTTCTTTAGGACTTTTCATTTGGCCTAGAGGCTGATACTAGGCTCATTGTGTACTTTTTCAGTCTTTCAAGACACATGCTAGCTCACTCTCTTGATTAGATTTCCTATTCATTTAGCAACCACTGTACACTGGACTTATTCAGTAGTAAGCTTCAAGTTTATTTTTTTAGTAAGGAAAGAAAACTCTTGCTGGGTGTAAGTTTTCCTAGGTATGGGTCAAGACATGACCTTGGTTATCAGTAAATAGCACTATATACAAACTAAAAAGTGATTCACACTTCATCCATCCTTTTACATTGGTGTTAGACACACACAAATATTTGTGATACACATACAAATATTTTTTGAGAGGTCAGGCAAAAGGAAGAAAGGATGGGAAACATGACACAGAAAGTTACGTGACAGAGAGCCCCCACCCCAATCCCTAAAGGCAAAATATCCAATTCCAGGTTGGATAGTAACCAACAGAAGTGGTCTAAGGAAAGCACTAAGGAAGAAATCTGTGGTCAAAAAGAAGGCAGACTGCATTGCTTCTTATTGGAAAAAGAAATTAAATAGAAAAAAAAAAAGAAGGCAGATGTTTTTCTTCCAAAAATTGGGCTAGAAAAAATAAAAAAAGAAAAGAAATTTTAAAAAATTAAGAAATTAAAAAAAAAAAAAGAAGGCAGATTTTGTTTGGTATCTTTTTCAAGTAAAATTTACCACCAGGAGTATAAGTCCCTAGATTGTGTTTCATGGCTCATGTTACTGTACTGTCATTGGAAAATATATGCAGACTGGGTGAAGTAGCCCATGCCTGTAGTCCCAGCTACTCCAGAGGTTGAGCCAGGAAGATCGCTTGAGCCCAGGAGTTTGAGGCCTCAGTGGGCCATGATTGTGCTGTGAATAGCCACTGCGAGCTCCTGTCTCAAGCTCCTGGCCTCAAGCGATCCTCCTGCCTTGGCCTCCCAAAGTGCTGGGATGATAGGCATGAGCCACCACGCCTGACCCAGATCCTGTCTCTAAAAAAAATAAAGAAAAGAAAGAAACTATATGCATCAAAGTAAGAGCCTAGGAGCTTAACTAGAACTCTAACATGAAAGGAGTTGGAAATCACATTAGAAGGCTTTGAAGATACATCAAACAAAAACCCTCAAAAACTTTATGAAAAATCCTAAGTACTTCTCCCCTTTAAAACTGGGGCCAGAGACTGGGCATGGTGGTTCACGCCTATATTCCTAGCACTTTGGGAGGCCAAAGGGGGAGGATCACTTGAGGTCAGGGGTTCAAAACCAGCCTGGGCAACATAGTGAGAACCCATCTCTGAAAAAAGTTTAAAAAAAAAAATTAGCCAGGCATATGCCTGTAGTCCTAGCTATGTGGAAGGATTGTTGGAGCCCAAGAGTTTGAGGTTGCAGTGAGCCTGTATCTCAATACTGCACTCTAGCCCAAGCAATAGAGTGAGACCCTGTTTCAAAGAAAAAACATGTATGTGTGTGTGTGTGTGTGTGTGTGTGTGTGTAAAAAACTGGAGCCGGCCAGGTGGGGTGGCTCATGCCTGTAATCCTAGCACTCTGGGAGGCCGAGGTGGGTGGATCATTTGAGCTCAGGAGTTCGACATCAGCCTGAGCAAGAGCGAGACCCCATCTTTACCCAAAATAGAAAAAATTAGCCGGGCATGGTGGTGCATGCCTGTAGTCCCAGCTACTCGGAGGCTGAGGCAGGAATTGCTTGAGCCAGGAGTTGAGGTTGCTGTGAGCTAGGCTGACGCCACGGCACTCTAGCCCATGCAACAGAGTGAGACTCTGTCTCAAAAAAAAAAAACAAAAAAAAAACTGGAGTCATAAATCATAAAGAATGCGCATGCTTTTATATGACTATAGAAAAAGTTCTAAAAGAATCAATACTAAATTATTCATACATCAGAAAAATGGGAGGATGTATCCATGTGAAGGTTAACTTTGACTTTTTACTTTATATGCTTTTGTATTGTTTATTTTTGCCACAGACCCATATTCCCTTGGCAATTTTTACAACTCAATAAATGTTATAATTACATATGAGGAGGATATCTGTAGTTCATTCATTCACTTATTCAACATTTATTGAGCATCTACTATATGCTTGGTACTGGGGCTATAAAAGGAATAAGACTTCCAAGGATCTAACAGCTTAGTGACAAAGACAGAAAAGTAAATAGAAGGTTTTCACCAAGCCTCATTCAGAAACTGAATTTTTAACAAGCACCCCCAGGCAATTCTGACCCAGGGAACTGGAGGACCACACTTTCAAGAACACTAGTTGAGTGCAAGCGAATTCTTTTCCTTGAAATCAGGAATTGAAAATAGCAACACGATGCTAATTAAGTAAACTTGGCATTGTTAGGAAATTTGAAACAATAGCCAGCCTACTAAGTGACCCATTTGCTTTTCCGATCCAATTATTTAAACTCAGTGTAACACGGTAATTTTTAAAGTAAGGTATTTCTGTATGTCATCAAGGCGACCTTGTGATAGTACTAACAAAACGAAGACACTTGGGTTAAAAAAGACTAGTCAGTGTGTACCAGAGAGTATTAAATAGGCTTTGACTGATTGATGAAAACCAGTAGTCCACTTCTTGAATTATATTTCAGTAGCACTTCTGCCTTCAAAGTGCCAAACCACCCTTCCCCAACCCCCTCACTCAATTAATGACCTTGCCTCATAAGACACTGGGAAAATTGACTGGGCATGGTGGTTGTAATTCTAGCACTCTGGGACACTGACACAGGCGGATTGCTCAAGGCCAGGAGTTCAAAACCAGCCTAAGCAAGAGCAAGACCTCGTCTCTACTATAAATAGAAAGAAATTAATTGGAAAAGTGAAAATTAGAAGAATGTGGTGTATATTGAATATAGCAGGTGCGATTATTGGTGTCGCGATGCTTTTAGTCCCATGCTACTAGAGCTGAGTGCAGGAGGTAGGTTCGCTGGTAAGCCTCAAGGAGTGGCTGAGGTGCTGTGAGCTAGGCTGGACCCACAGCACGCCTACGGCGAGGGAGCGAGAGGCGGTGAGACCTCTTGGGGTGCCGAAAGATAGAAGATAGAATAAAGACAAACACTAGGGAAATGAGTGATATATGAGTCACACATCGCGAAGCGCGCGCGAGAACGTCATGAGCACAACTAGCTGCATACTGATCTTTGGAGGCGTCCTGCCGTCGCGTAGCGACGGAGCGAGAACAACAGTGCCTCTTATTATTGCAGTATCCAGAGGCCAAGTCTCCCTCATTTATATTGATGTATCCTTTCATATTTCCTA